TATATATAGAGAGAGATATAGATATATATATATATATATAGTTACGAGTATGACGTGCCAACCTTTAGACAAACAAACATGCAAGCTTTTCTACATGGAATTTCGCGCGTGTAGAGCCATAATTAAAGCCATACGTGCAGGTGAACTCAGCTTTCATGTTATGACAAGAGTGGAACCAGAGTTGTATGTGGAGGGCTTGTACAGACCTAGTAAAGAAAACATGCTCGAAGTTGACACAAACTATTGAACAGATGTGAGCAGCATCACCTAACGTAAGTATGTGTGAACACGCGAGAAAACATGAATGATTTACGAACGGAAGAATTTTAGCTCAAATTTGACTATATAATATACAGACCTCAAGTGAGCACCAAAAGAATGAGATACATCAAAACTATCTGTGGATTAACATGCATCTTTACATATATTGGAAAACCACAGGCCACGCTGTCTGTCAGATGGAACTTTGAACATTCGATTAAGCACACACTCATTGGTATTTGCAGAAGCACGCGTACGTATACGCCGCATACAGAAATAAAGACACCACCTTGTACAGATACGGAGCAAAGGCCATATAAAGCTATCTAATCCGACACTTAATCTCATTTATTGGTGTTCGTACCACACAGCCCTAGTGAGAATACCGCAGCTTGTATAAGCAGGTGATAGAGTAGAGACAGTAGTCTCCCTTTACAATTAATTAGGTAAAGTGGACACACGCTCATGCACAACAGCAAGCGTCGCATACAGCCACTGAAGTCATTTTAAATTGTACTTGCACCACACAGAGATAGAGAACATGCACCACCTTGTACACCCAAATGGAATGGATTTTTTTTTCCTTTCACATAAGCATTGTTCAGCACGAGTGCTAACAATTGAATCGTTCACAGTACATTACAATATCTCAAACATGTGGCACATTTCATCACAGTCCATAAAGTTGCATCTCGTATTATCATATTTCATTACTTACGCAGGGTATGCAGCGGAAATGAGAGATAAAAGTTCTTTGGGTGTGGTTTCAACAGGCACTTGCAGCTTAACCGAGGACACTCCGGCTAGCTCACGCGATCGGGCGAAGAAGAGCACTTGTGCGTTTATTGTATCCGCCATAGGAACGTTGATGAGGTTTATTGTTCTATTATGCTATCACCGTATTATCGCAGTAGGTCGATTAAGGAATGTTTTAGTACTGAATTTGAATAGTAATACTGTATAAATAGATACTTTTACTATGTAAATACTGCTCTATTCACATTAAAAAGGTATTAAAATGCACATACACACGGGAACGTTTTGTGCAGCGTGATTCCTGTGATGAGCATGTCGTCACCATTTGACGTCACGACGACGGAACGTGCAAATGTTTCAATTTATACAATGACGCACATTGCTTTTCTGAGTTTTCTCAGACGCTTATTTTTTTTGGATTGTTTTAAACAAAAACAAATAAGAAATACAGTAGTATTTACATGATGCAATATATTTTGACGATATTTACGTAGTTTTAGTATATATTTACATACTTGTACTTTAAGGTTTTCGTATTGAAGTTATCCTTTAACACATATTTACGTGGATGTTACATGCGTGGTGCGTGATATGACAAGACGCAAATCATAGGCTATTCCAATATTGGTTATGAAGTATCGGTCTTAATCTCTAGGATCGTAGCGATAATAACAATACAGTCCGAAAAATCTGAGCAACATGGCGAATCCAGTGGAGCCAAATCAAGTTGATATGGGCTCCACCCGTGCTGCAGAAGATTCTATACTCGTACCCGATTCTAACTCTGGCTCCTACTTTAAAACCACTGGTACAACAGAGCATGATACGGGAGAAAAAAGTAGAAATAAATCGCATGATGGAAGGCAAGATGAAGGTAGTGTGGATAGTGTACCATACAATAACGATAGTGACACAGTTAGAGATGTGGGTAGTAAAATGAAAGTGCAAACTAGTAGTGACAGCCAATTACAACATATTAAGGATAGCGATGTAGCTACTGCTGATGCCACCGGAGAACTAAACCAAGCAGCTCAGACCGATACACACAAAAATACGAAGGCTAGACAAGAAGGGGCACGCCAAGCGCCAAAGAACTCGGATAAGTTCATCCCCTTTTTCAGAGAGTATACTCTGATTAATGAATAGTAAGTACATATCGAATCATGTCTATGTGTCCATGTTTCGCTATGAATATGATTCATTATGACGCGAATTGCGATTTGAATCTTAAGCGTTGTATAAAAATGTGTACTTTAGTCAACGAGTGATAAGTAAGGGAACTTTCGTCTATGTCCACTGCTACTACTATGCAGCATGAAATAGTATGGGGCGTCAGCTTCTGTATAGAACAATAAGCAATGATTGTGGGAATCATAGTAGAGTATATCAATATAATTCAACATACACCGTACAAGCTCGAATATTAAACACTGATTTGAGTACTCGACCTTCCCCTAGAACTTGACTGCCGTACAAAATTATTTTCTTGAAAAACCTGTATTCTCTGCTGAAACTCACTCACACACTTATATATATATATATATATATATATTATTATATTAGTATATTATTAT